GTGGCCTACAAGAAGCACAGACTAGGCTGCCCGGGGGTGGGGATGGGGTAGGAGTGGGGCTTCAAGCTATTCTGAAAAGGGAAACCTTGAGCAGTGGAGATCTAAAAAAACCCAAATCAGTTGCCATCCAGTCGATCCCAACTCATGGTAACACCATGTATGTGGAGTAGAACTGCACTCCACTGGGTTTTCGAGTCTGCGACCTTTTGGATGCAGTTTGCCAGACCTTTCTTCTGAGGCACCTCTGGGTAGGTTTGAAGCACCAACCTTTCAGTTAGTAGTCGAATGCTTAACCGTTTAACCACTGCCTTAGTGTTCTAGAAGAGAAGGAGGAGAAATAATAATCTTCCATGTCGGTGACAGTGGTCAGGAACTGTAAGTAGTTTTTTGTGACCAACTGAATTCTGCCCCTTGCATATATGGAAAACGTACATTGTGCCAATGGTGCAAATTTCCATGAAAAACAGAGAAAAATCTAGAAGGAAGAGACAATTTATTGGTATGTGCCCCACTGTTGGAATTCTCTTCTGAAGAACAATGCTTCTAAGTGATGGTTAACGTAGATGTATTACTTTGCGTGGATTTTAGGTAAAGATCATATCCTACCTCTTCTTACACTCAATTCTGTTAATATTCTTGGGAAATTTAATATCTTCTCAAATTGAATTTCGTATTTTGGAGAATCTTACTATAACACAACAGCCCATATATAACTGTGTTGAAGAATTTAGTGAATGAAACGCTTTGGTAGTTGATAATATTCTGCTTATTTGATCAGTTCTCAGTATTTTGGATTATGTAGCATATTTTCATGGAGAATGGTAGATTATTTTGATACAATTTACATTTTAATGAAGGTATTGGGAAAAAACATGAGCAAAATTTTGGTAATTCAGTAGGTTGGAGTTATGGGTTCCTTAAAATTTCTCATCGAATTTGTAGAAAGAGAGAAAATCTTCATTTAAAATGTTTTTGGCTCATTTGTAAGTTGTAGGTTTTGCTGCTGCTTGCATCTTTGTGGCATCTGTCATAGGCTGTAGTTCTAGATAACACCAGTAGGTGTCGGTATTTCTCCATACATATATTGGTTTTTCTCTAAGTCTTTTTGTTAAATCCTGGCTGGCCGGAGGGTATTTCATTTTTGTGGAAGTCCCTGGCAAGATTGGCACTTGATCAAAGTAGGGGCATATGAAGATTGTCAGGAGGTCCAGATCACAGAATCTGAGGAGCAATAAAGGCTATAACCCTTTGGTGACCCAATTGTTTTTCTGCTTTGATTTTTTATTGATACCATGCATTTTCATTAATGGAAGCATGCTGAATCATTGAGTGTGTCTGAATTTTTGGTAGTAGCATGGATTTTTTTTTGGGTTGCCCTCTCCCACGAGCCTACCCTGTGTTTAGTGGTACATAAAAAACAAAACAAAACAAAAAAAACTCATTGCCGTTGAGTAGATTCCAACTCAGGCACCCTATAGGACAGAGTAGACCTGCCCACATATGGTTTCCAAGGAGCGCCTGGTGGAGATACATATAAAGTACCACTAATTATACGCCAGAGTCCCCACCAGGGTCTATTGGTATACATGTGTAACAAATAAAAATTTTCAAAATTTTTATTTTTCCTATAAAAAAATTAGACAACTCATATAGTACCCTTTAAAAACAGTAGTTTGTGGCATGCACCTGTTTCTTCTATTTCAAACAGTCATAAAGGCCCCTGCCTTGTGGCAGCTCTCACTGTCAGCGGGACAACAGCTTCCCAATAAACCCCAGAGCCTGAAAACATTCATGGCTCCTATGTGTACCACCAGACACGAAAGGGTTAAAAATGGGTTAGCAGGAAAAGTTCACCACTATGCAAGGATGAATCCAGATAACTTAAGAGGCTGCATCCCAAGTGAGAGCCCTGTGAGGGACTCTGAAAGCAACTTGAGCATAAATGGGTGCGGCAGGGACCGCTGCACCAGGCATGGGGCAGGAGCCATCAGGAAGCAATCATTGACAAGGGTCCGTGTATATTTTTATCACATTATTTTCCTCAGTTGTCAATTTGTTTTTTAAAATGAACTAAATGAATAAGTATACTTTTTTTCTGGTGCCATTGTATCAAAGGGCACTGACAAAACCCTCTGCCTGTGTGTGAAAATATTTTGTCTGGCCCTATCTTCTATCCAACCCAATTTATTGAGCCCAGCTTTAGTTTACGGGAGTATGCTTTCTCTGTTAGACATTCCTTACGGTAAGAAGTTACAGAACTTTAGAACTGGAAGGGCCTGCACACTCCATCCAGTCTACCACGTGTACATTTCCAGAACATTCCATTACATTTAGGAGGGGCTTATATACTTGCTCTCCAAGTCCTAGTGAAAGGAAACCACCCTTTTGTAGTGATGCTTGCTCTCCAAGGCCAGGTGAAAGGAAACCGCCATTTTGTAGGGACCACACTTTTCTCTCTTTGAGATAGGATGAGGCCCAGGAGCCCTGTGATGGCCTTATGTACTCCTTCCAGCTCCTCTGACGAATAGCAGCAAGCAAGGGGGTGAGTAACGTGCAACTTAACAAAATTGGTCCAAAATGTATTTTGGGACTTCCGGCAGGCCCACGTCTCACTGTAGACCTTGAGCTGTGCCACAGCAGGGCAAGGACTAGGGTGAGGCAAATGAGGCACTGGGGGTAAGATCTAAGGCGGCACTCACTCTCAGCTCCCAAGTGCACGACACATTGCATAATCCCAGGAGGAGCGCCTCCTTCAATTTTGCACCCAGGAGCCTCCTTTGCCCACGGTATTGTCAGCCCTGTGCAGGTGTACCACCTATCTGTAAGTTTGCCCCCTTCCCCTCCCGGCCCTCCTCCTCTTTCACTACTGTCTTCCTTCTTTCTTTCCCCTCGTTCCTTCCTCTCACTGTCTCTTCCTCTCTACCTCCTTCCTTCCTGTCCTTCCTTCATATATTTAACAAATATTTCCCAAGTGTCGACCTGGGCGAAGGACACAGATAGACATGGCCCCTTCGCGTTTTCCAGTCATTGAATTTATGGTGATGTTAAGGTATTTCAAAGTCCTACATACTTAAACTAATTTGATGCACAGTGTAATATATGACACATTTCTGGACCTGAAAACACACCCGGTACTTTACTTTTTAAAGTGATCTTCAAGATCAGAGGACCTGGATGGCCGATTTTATCCTTGAGGGTGCTTATGGAATAAGGCACATTTGCCAACTAAGCGCTCTCTGAGCAAAGTTCAGAAAGGAAGTCAGGGCAGAAGTCACCCTATAATGGGAAGGTTTTGTTTAGTTTTCCAACAAAGAGATTTGCTTCTTGACCATTTGGAGCAATTTGACAGTCTTTATAAACTGTTGACTTTCTGGAAAATAGCAGGTTAAGAAAGAGAACGATGTTCTCATGACCAAATAGCAATTTTTCCAGTTTTATGATAGATTCTTTAAATTTAATTGTGTTATGTGCTCTCAAGGAGCCCTGGTGGTGCAGTGGTTAAAGCACTTGGCTGCTAACAGAAAGGTCAATGATTCGAACCCAAGAGCCACTCTGCGGGAGGAAGATGTGGCAGTCTGATTCCAGCCTTGGAAACCCTATGAGGCAGTTCTACTCTGTCCTATGGGGTTGTTATGAGTCAGAATCGATGGCAACCTGTGTGGTTTTTTTGGTAGTGGGGTTTTATGTGCTATCAGGATAAGACTGGCAGAGACAAGGGCTGTTAAGGCTCAATTCTTAGTGGTAATGTGGTCATTGGAATATAGAAGCGATTCAGGAGGGAAAACAGAAACAGTTACAGTCAAGGAAATGCAACTAATATCCACCCTAAATTGCCATTGTTAAAAAGGAGGTGCAAATATAATGGCTTGTAAAACAAAATATACTATTTATATTTTCTAAAAAAAAAACAAAAAACCTGTTGCTATCAAGTTGATTCTGACTCCTGCAACCCCACTTGTTACAGAGTAGAACTGAGCTCCACAGGGTTTTCTTGGCTGTAATCTTAATGGAAGCAGATTGCCAGGCCTTTCTACTTCAGTGCCACTGAGTGGATTTGAACCACCAACCTTTTGGTTAGTAGACAAGAGCAAACTGTTTGCCCCTCCTAGGGACCTATATACAATTGATGCTTAGAGGTAATTTTTCTATCAAAAATTGAGCTTGACCTTTAACAAAAATTTTGCATCCAGTTTGGGGCTTCACAACAGAAAAGGGACTTAGAAAACTTGGAGAGGATTCTAAAGGGCACAGTAATAATAGCTATAATTTATTGAATGCTAAGTGTGTACCAGAAACCATGGTGGCTTAGTAGTTAAGAATTTGGCTGCTAACCGAAAGGTCAGCAGTTCAAATCCACCAGGTGCTTCTTGGAAACTCTATGGGGCAGCTCTACTCTGTCGTATAGGGTCACTATGGGTCAGAATTGACTTGACGGGAATGGGTTTGGGTTTTTTTTTTAAGTGTACCAGATTGAGTGCTAATTTAATACAATGCTATCATGAAGTGGGTTCTATTATTACCTTGCTCTATGGATGAGGTGGTTCAGAGAGGTTAAGAAATAATCCTCAAAGTCACACAGCTAATTAGCAGAAGACCCAAAATTCAAATCAATGTGGATCTGCTAGACTTCAAACTCCATAATTTTAAACGTCATTGATTAAAGGGCCCATGAGGAAGGGTAAAGGACCTGGGACTACTGTATGTGGAGAAGAAGAACCCAAGGAGAGACTTACTCTTGATCTTCAAGTATATTTTAAAGGGTGTTTGCATAAAGGAATGAAATTAGCTCATTTTTTTAATAAAGAATTCAATGTAAATCTACAATATGAGTTAAATATAGCAAAGAATAATTAAATATTGTAATATATAACCAAGAGGTCCACCCTGTCAGCTCCTGAAGGCAGGGACCATGTCTGTCTTCCTCATCTTTGAATCCCTGGGCTTACCGTAGGGCTGAGGGCATACGCAGAATTTTGTTGAGTAAATGAATGACGGTGTGCGTGAGTCTTTTAAATCTTTTTATTAATTTATTTATTTTGAGGCATTAACGATAGGATAGATGCTTATCGTTGTGGAATAGTTTAAACATGATCATAATTGGGAGTGACAGAAAATAAACGGAGTCCCAAGGACTGTTTCAACCACATGTCTTAATTTCTCTAGCCCCAATCCACTGGGCCCTTTTAGTATCTTAGGTTATATGTTCTGGAGGCAGATTGTAGTTCCATCATGTTGAAGAACTTTAATCTAATATGTTCAGATATACGTTAAACTACCAATCACAGAGTTTTTCAGGTAAATTACACAAATCCAGCTAGGAATGACAAGCAAATCCCAACCACACAAAATACAGTAACGGAAAAAGTATTCATAGCTAGAGAGAGAGAAAAAAAAACTAACTACAAAACCTCTTAACTCTCAATATTACTCTGCATAATTTGTTTTCAGTTATCAGGCTAAGAAGCACAAAAATAGTTTTGCTGCATCATCTGCAAATACATTGTTTAAACATACACGATTTTTTTAGAGTGCTGCCTCATGCACATCTAACAGCTGTCCCCAGTGTGATAACATTCCTAAAGGTCAGCTGACCCTTCAGCAGGCAACAATGGCCCTGTCAGTTCCTCCATCACCTCTTTCCTCAGCCTTGTTGTCTTCTTTTGCCAACTTGTGTTCTGAATCCTCATCCTTTTTCCATGTCACTTTTTTGGGTCCAGTCTTTGATTTGCCCTTGCTGAATTTCTGTATCAGCTCCTGCTGGATCAAAAATATGTATTTGAAACCCACACTTTCCTTAGGCAAGGACTGTAAAATATCAATTTACTAGAATGCCTGGGAAAATGGAGTATTTCAGTTCATTGACAGTTTGGCGTTATTTAGAATTAATTACACAATCTTTTTTTAATTGCAGTATATTTCTATGCCATAAAATTCCCCTCTTTTAAAAGTATATATTTCAGTGTTTTTTGGTATATTCAACCAGCACCACACTCTTATTTATAACATCTCCATCACTTTTTAAAGAAACTCCACCCCCGTTAGCTATTAGTCCAAATCCTCCCTTCTCTCAGCTCCTGGCAGCCACTAATCTATTTGCTGTCTCTATGGATTTTCCCATTCTGGATATTTTATATAAACAGAATAGTACAATATGTGGCCATTTGTGTCTGACTTCTTTCACTTAGCATAATGTTTGCTAGGTCTACCCATGTTGTAGCATGTATGAGTACTTCATGCCTTTTTATGGCCGAATAACATTCCATTGTATGGAACTATCACATTTTGTTTATCCATCAGTTGGTAGACATTTGGATAGTTTCCAGTTTTTAGCTATTATGAACAATGCTGCTATGAACATTCACATATACATTTTTGTGTGGACATATATTTTCAATTCTCTTGGCTATATACCTGGCAATAGAATTGTTGGGTTACATGGTAACTTCATATTTAACTTTTTTGAGAAACTGTTTTCCAGAGTGGTTATACCATTTTACATTCCCACCAGCTGTGTGTGAGGCTTTCAGTTTCTCCATATCCTCATCAACATTTGTTATTGTCCTTTTATGTATCTGTTGACCATTTGTATGTCTTCTTTGAGAAATATCTCTTGAAATAATCAGATTATCTTTCATTATTCCAAATATATTGTTAAAAATCTTTCCAAAATGCATCAATGTACTTTTACTCTGAATCAGTAAACTAAAACTTATTGGCTTGCTGGTGAGGGGCCTTCAGGACACCATCCAAACACCAGAGTTTTTATACTATATGGCAGCTATGTAAAGTGAAGATGGAAAGAAACTACTGTTTTATTGTTTGCCAAGTAAGTGCCAAACAATTTTCTGTCATTTTTCTAAATGTTACTCATTTAATCCTGACGTGAACTCTGGGAGGTGGTTAATATCCTGTCTTTACAAATGAGAAAAAGGAGGTCCTCAGTGGCTCAGGGATTTAACCAAGATGATCAAATGAGCATGAGGTGGAGCTTGGAGTCAGACTCAAGTAGCATTGACACTACAGTCTACAGTGTTTTCATCATTCCATCCTGCCTTTTATATAAAACCCATTGCCGTTGAGTTGACTCTGACTTATGGTGACTCCACGTGCTTCAGAATAGAACAGTGCTCTGTAGAGTTTTAAATGGCTGTAGTGTTACAGAAATAGATCACCAGGCCTTTCTTCTGTGGTACCGCTGGGTGGAGTCAAACCATCAACCTTTAGGTTAGCAGCCAAGCACAGTAACCATTTGCACCACTCAGGGACCTTAATTCACTGAAGGCTATTTATTTAAGAATTTAATTGTTACTTTTCAAGATTATTTGTGTTTGTTTTATTTTTATTTACTTCTCACATGTTTACTATATGGAGTTGGGGTGCTAAATTAGAGTAATGCATGCTGCTGTTGTTAGGTGCTGTCAAGTTGGTTCCGACTCATAGCAACCCTAGGTACAACAGAACAAAACACTGCCCGGTCGTGTGCCATCCTCACAATCATTGCTATGTTTGAGCCCATAATTGCAGCCACTGTGTCAATCCATCTTGTTAAGGGTCTCCCTCTTTTTTGCTGACTCTCTACTTTACCAAGCATAATGTCCTTCTCCAAGGACAGGTCCCTCCTGATAACATGTTCAAAGTATGTAAGATGAAGTCTCACCATCCTCACTCTGGCTATACTTCTTCCAAGACAGATTTATTCATTCTTTTGGCAATCAATACTACATTCAATATTCTTTGCCAACACCGCAATTCAAAGGCGTCAGTTCTTCTTCGTTCTTCCTTATTCATTGTCCAGCTTTCACATGCACATTTGAAAATACTATGTTTTGAGTCAGGTGCATCTTATCCTCAAAGTGACTTCTTTTCTTTTTAACCTTTAAAGACGTCTTTGGCAGCAGATTTGCCCAATGCAATACGTTGTTGATTTCTTGACTGCTGTTTCATGGGTGTTGATTGTGGATCCAAGTAAAATGAAATCCTCGACAATTTCACTATTGTCTGTTTAATGTGCTGTTGCTTAGTGATCCACTTGCGAGGATTTTTGTTTTATATTGAAGGGTAATCCATACTAAGGCTGTGGTCTTTGATCTTCATCAGTAAGTGTTTCAAGTTCTCTTCACTTTCAGCAAGCAAGTTTGTGTCATCTGCATATAGCAGATTGTTAATGAGTCTTCCTCCAATTCTGATGCCACACTCTTCTTCATATAGTCCAGCTTCTCAGATTATTTGCTCAGCATACAGACTGAATAAGTATGGGGAGGGGATGCAACCCTGACGCACACCTTTCCTGCTTTTAAAGCATGCAGTATCCCCTTGTTCAGTTCGAAAAACTGTCTCTTGGTCTAAGAACAGTTTCTGCATGAGCACAATCAAGTGTTGTGGAATTCCCATTCTTTTCAATGTTATCCATAATTTGTTATGATCCACACAGTTGAATGCCTTTGCGTAGTCAATAAAACACAGGGAAACATCTTTCTGGCGATCCTTTGCTTTTAGCCAAGATCCGTCTGACATCAGCAATGATATCCCTCATTCCACGTCCTCTTCTGAATCTGGCTTGAATTTCTGGCAGTTCCCTGTCAATGTACTGCTGCAGATGTTTTTGAATCATCTTCCACAAAATTTTACTTGAGCGTGGTATTAATGATACTGTTCAATAATTTCCACATTCTGTTGGATCATCTTTCTTTGGAGTGGGCACTTATATGGATCTCTTTCAGTTGGTTGGCCAGGTAGCTGTCTTCCAAACTTCTTGGCATAGTGAGTGAGCACTTTCTGTGTTGCATCCATTTGTTGAAACATCTCAATTGGTATTCTGTCAGTTCCCACAGCCTCGTTTTTTGCCAATGCTTTCAGTGCAGCTTGGACTTCTTCCTTCAGTACCATCAGTTCTTAATCATATGCTACCTCCTGAAATGGCTGAATATCAAACAGTTCTTTTTGGTACAGTGACTCTGTGTATTCCTTCCATATTCTTTTGATGCTTTCTGTATCATTCAATTTTTTGTCCATAGAATCCTTCTATATTGTAACTCAAGGCTTGGATTTTTTCTTCACTTCTTTCAGCTTGAGAAATGCTGAGCATGTTGTTCCCTTTTGGTTTTCTAACTCCAGGTCTTTGCATATTTCATTATAATACTTTACTTTGTCTTCTTGAGGTGCCCTTTGAAATCTTCTGTTCTGCTCTTTTACTTCATCATTTATTCCTTTGACTTTAGCTACTCTACATTCAAGGGCAAGTTTCAGAGTCTCTCTGACATCGATTTTGGTCTTTTTTTTTTCTTTCCAGTCTCTTTAATGACCTTTTGCTTTCTTCACGTGTGATGTTCTTGATGTCATCCCACAACTCACCTGGTCTTTGGTCATTAACGTTCAATGTGTCAAATCTATTCTGAGATGGTCTCTAAATTCAGGTGGGATATACTCAAGGTTGTATTTTGGCTTTCATGGACTTGTTCTGATTTTCTTCAACTTCAGCTTCAACTTGTATATGAGCAATTGATGGTCTGTTCCTCAGTTGGCCCCTGGCCTTGTTCTGACTGATGGTATTGAGCTTCTCCATTGTCTCTTTCCACAAATGTAATCAATTTGACTCCTGTGTATTCCATCTGGCAAGGTCCACGTGTATAGTCACCTTTTATGTTGTTGAAGAAACGTTTTCCCAAGGAATAGGTCATTGGTTTTGCAAAATTCTATCATGTGATCTCCGGCATTGTTTCTATCACCAAGGCCATGTTTTCCAACTACCGATCTTCCTTTGTTTCCAACTTTCACTTTCCAATCACCAGTAATTATCAATGCATCTCGATTGCATATTTGATCAATTTTAGACTGAAGAAGTTGGTAAAAATCTTCAATTTCTTCATATTTGGCATTAGTGGTTGGTGCATATATTTGAATAACAGTCGTATTAACTGGTCTTCCTTGTAAGTATATGGATATTATCCTATCACTGGCAACGTTATACTTCAGAATAGATCTTGAAATGTTCTTTTTGACAGTGAATGTGATGCCATTCCTCTTCAATTAGCTGTTTTCGACCATATGATTGTCTGATCCAAAATGGCCAATACCAGTCCATTTCAGCTCATTAATGCCTAGGATATCTATCTTTACGTGTTCCATTTAATTTTTGACACCTTCCAATTTCTTAGATTCATACTTAGTACATTCCAGGTTCCGATTATTAATGGATGTTTGCAGGTGTTTCTTCTCACTTTAAGTGGTGTCACAAAAGCAAATGAAGGTCCCAAAAGCTTTACTCCATTCAATTCATTAAGGTCAACTCTACTTTAATGAGGCATCTCTTCCCTGGTCGTATTCTGAGTGCCTTCCAACCTGAGGGACTCATCTTCTGAGCAACACTCAAGCCACCACAGTACAACTAACAGACAAGTGGTGGAGAATAATGCATACTTTTAGTTAACTGAGGGCCACCATAAGTTCCCATATGGTTCATTGGTTTTATTGGATTATCTTATAGAAATCTTATCCCTTGGTAAAAATAGTTACTGAATTAATCTCCTAATTTCTCACTTAGGAGTTAGGGATAAATGAAAGATGATGTGAAAAGAGTAAGGAGGATGAAAAATTTCATTATCCTTTAAAATATTTGCGATACTTGCAAATTCATATTTAAACTGGAAAAAAATTGATGCCTCCAGGAGAGGTGGCAGTGTAGCCACTCGGTAAACTAAGACATGTGCAGCACTCTCAAAAGATAAACTTCACAGGAATGGGTGAAGGAATAGTTTTGT